CGGACGGACGGACAGACAGACGTACCTTAAGCTCCCGGAAGAAGACGCTGCTCCGGGCCCACTCGACGATGGAGAAGAGCGTCTGGTCTGCCATCTTGCACATGAGCCCGAAGGTGCTCAGCCTCTCGTGCTTGCCCCGGCTGGCCTGCTCCTGCTGCAGGTAGGCCGTGATCTTGGCCTGCACCTGCGGCTCGTCGGGCTCGCACTTGAGCAGTTCCAGGATCAGGTGCGGGACGCTGGCCGGGGAGCCGGTCTGGTAGCCGTCCACGTAGGGGTAGCCCATGAGGGACTCGGGCGAGCTGGTGTAGGGGTCGGGGTACTCGGACTTGATGGCCCGGCTGGGGAAGGGGCCGTAGGGGGGGTAGCCTTGCAGGCTGCTGCCGTGCGGCGGGGGCATGGCCATGCTGATGGGGGAGGTGACGAAGGGGCTGCGGTCGTAGTCCGTGGGCGGCAGGGCGGCGTGGCTCAGGGGGAGGCCCTTGGAGGCCGAGTGCATGTTCTGGATGGCGGAGGTGAGGCTCAGCTCGGGCGGCATCGCCTGGATCACCTGGGACATGGCCTCCAGCTTCAGTCCGTTCGCGCGGATGAGGGCCTTCTTCTGCTGCTTCAGGGCGCGGTCCCGCTTGTACATGGGCCCGAATTTATTCCGTCCTCCGCGCATTCGGTCGGCCCTGACCGCTGGAGGAGAGGAAGTCGGGGTGTGAGTGAAGACGGAAGCGATTAGGGCCCCCCCCCCCCCCGGCAACGTCCCAACGGGTCAAGGTTTGTGGGCTCGTCACCTCGCAGGCTGCTGCCTGGCGGGGCACAGACAGGCATCAACCAGATGAGCCCCGGCCGGTGTGGCTCAGTGGGGAGAGCGTCGGCCTGCGGACTGACGGGTCCCGGGTTCGATTCCCGGTCAAGGGCACGTGCCCGGGTTGCAGGCTTGGTCCCTGGTGTGGGGCCTGCAGGAGGCAGCCGATCAATGATTCTCGTTCATCATTGATGCCTCTCTCTCTCTCTCTCTCTCTCTCTCTCTCTTCTTCTCTGAAATCAATGAAAATATATTCACAAAAGAAAAAAGAATCCACCAATCAATGCGTAAATAAGTGGAACTACAAATCAATGTTTCTCTCTCTTTCTCTTCCTCTCTCTCTAAAAACCAACCCATAAATAAAAGAATTAAAAAAAAAATAAAGATGTAAGCTATTAGCACTCCCTAGATCAGCCGTGGGCAAACTATGGCCCGCGGGCCGGATCCGGCCCGTTTGAAATGAAAAAAACTAAAAAAAAAAAAAAAAAAAAAGACCGTACCCTTTTATGTAATGATGTTTACTTTGAATTTATATTAGTTCACACAAACACTCCATCCATGCTTTGGTTCCGGCCCTCCGGTCCAGTTTAAGAACCCATTGTGGCCCTCGAGTCAAAAAGTTGGCCCACCCCTGGTCTAGAGTGACAACTATTTAGAAATATGGGCAATGGACCAGAAGCAGTATGTGCGTTTCTGTTCTTACTACATTCGTCCTCAACGATTCCCCCTAAAAGCCCTGTCCTCGTTATTCATGAATTGTTTCCTCCACGTGTGTTTTTCATCAAAAAAAAAAAAAAAACCTCTCCCTTCGGTGGACGGGAGAGACTTCCTAATTGTTGCCACACACACCGGACACTTCGTGTCCCTCCAAGGCCTGTCCGTGTTCTACTAAGAGGATCGGCGTCTCTTGTGCCGGTTACATTGTTGCTCTCTTTACAGAATCCCAAGCTGCCGATGGCAACAAAGTATCCAACGACCCACTTCTAGATCAACCTGCGACTGTCTGCTCTTAGAGCCTCGTCCTGCTCCTGAGCCACGCCGGCCCAAGTTGCTGCAAAAAGGGCTGGGGACGTCCTTTCTTTAGAAAAAAAAAAAAAATGATTTTCACCCCGACTCGATGAACCCGCATCAGATCGCCACGGGCCGTCGTTTTTTTAGTTTTAGCAAAACCGTGCAGATTGAAAGCCGATTCGTTTCAGACGCTGTCCAGACAGCCTCCCTCCCCCGGTCCCAGCGCTGGGTGGAGTCTGGGGCCAGGTCGTCATAGAATAAGTGAGCCGCTCTCCCCAGGCCCTAAGCAGAAGCCAGCCACCCTGACAGCCTGGGACATGCGGCCGTGGCCGGAGGTTATGTTTTCGGAGCTTTTCATCCTAGGATTAGTCCGCATTAAAAATGTATGGCGAACGCTGGGTGTCCACAACACGAGACAATAGAGGTTTTCATGGGGGTGAGAATTGGCTGAATAGTCAGCGGTTTCGTCGCCCTGGTAGGAAGGTACGGTGGGCAGCCAAGTGACTTACAGTGAAGAAAACCAACGCCCCCAGGGAAAGAAACGCAACCTTTTTCTTTTGTTAAGAAAAACAGCCCGGCCGGCGTGGCTCAGGGGTTGAGCGTCGACCTCTGAACCAGGAGGTCACGGTTCGATTCCCGGTCAGGGCACAGGCCCGGGTTGCGGGCTCCATCCCCAGTGGGGGGGGTGCCAGTGGATGGATGTTTCATTCTCACATGGATGCTTCTCTCTCTCTCTCCTTCTCCCTCTAAAAATCTATTAAAAAAAACATTTTTTTTTTTAAAAAAAGCACAAAAACACTAGGGCTTGGCACATGCCGGTGATACGGACGGCTCGTTGCTACTTTATCTGCCTCGTACTTCACCTGAGAACGTCAGCAGGCGGGAGTCTGAAGACCAGCGACATGCCACCGCGTCCGTGAATTACGCGTCATGAGTAGCGGCCGAGTGTTAACTCTGTCGCCTGCCAATGTGAGCACAGCCAGCCCGTCTCCTCTCTCTCTCAACGTAGAGTTTAACGTGGCTTTTAAGAAAGCAGGCTGGTGTCTCCTGTCTGTGAGCTCGTTATTTTTTCATGTTTCCTGCTTCTCAACTTTTAAAAAAAATTTCATCTGTCAGGCTCCGTCATTCTCTTAATTTTAAAAAAATATATTTTATTGATTTTTTACCGAGAGGAAGGAAGAGGGATAGAGAGTTAGAAACATCGATGAGAGAGAAACATCGACCAGCTGCCTCCTGCACACCTCCTACTGGGGATGTGCCCGCAACCAAGGTACATGCCCTTGACCGGAATCGAACCTGGGACCCTTCAGTCCGCAGGCCGACGCTCTATCCACTGAGCCAAACCGGCCAGGGCCATTCTCTTGATTTTAAAAAGTGCTTTCCCACACTATCCCAAACGACACCCTCCCGGAGAAAGCTCTTTTGACAAGTAAAGGGTTTAATCCCTGCTCGGCAATCATGTAATCGATTGTTACACTTATGACAAGCAAGCCTATTAAAAAAAAAAAAAAATTCCATTCTGGCCGGCTGGCTCAGTGGTTGAGAGTTGACCTATGAACCAGGAGGTCACGGTTGGATTCCCAGTCAGGGCACATGCCCGGGTTGCGCGCTCGATCCCCAGTGGGGGGGCGTGCAGGACGCAGCCGATCCATGATTCTCTCTCATCATGGATGTTTCTCTCCCTCTCCTTTCCTCTCTGAAATCAATAAAAACACATTTAGGAAAAAAAAAAGATTCCAATCAAACTTTGACTGGGGCGTTCTGATTTGAAAACTTTAAAAAAGGGATTTTTTTCCACCTTATTTTTATTTGTTCTCAGTTGAATGGCTTGAGTCTCGCTATCATCTACCCTGTTTTTATTTTGAGGGTCCATCGCAGCAACTCCCCAAACTAACAACAACAACAACAAAAAATGGCGAGGAGGGGTGAGGCCCACAACTCTGATATGAACATTTTTTCCTTGGTGGGCTTGACAAGGGCAGTAACGAAACACAGGCTATTCGTAAAGCGGACGAAACGTAAAGTCTGACACCCCCGTCCGCGGTGTTAAAAGACCAGGAAAATAACGTTCCTCTGGTGGAAGCACAACGTTGCGTTACACGCGAGGCCCCGGGAGCCTTACCAGGCAGCGGCGTGGCGAGGGGCCTTACCTTCTAGCTTCATCCCCACGCTCAGGCATTTCTGAAACCGACAGTAGGGACAGCGCTTTCTCTGGGTTTTGTCAATCTGACAGCTCTGGTTCTCTATACACGTGTACCTCTTGTTGTTCTGGACCGTCCGCTTAAAAAAGCCCTGGAAGACAGAAGCCACAGGGAGACACGTTATACAGCCACCGCCCACCCGTCTCTCCCGTGGCCTCTTGGGCAGGGACTCCACAGCCCATCCTCTCACTGTGCCAGGGGAGCTGTTCTGAGGGTCTGTGGTTTTGTTGGCCAGTTTCACGAGGCCCGCCCTCCCTACCAGGCCCAGGAGATCGCGCCGGCCCCGGGGTCCTATTCCTGAAGCATGACGGCCAATCTTGGGGGAGATTCGGCTCCATACACACCATCGCATCTCAACGTTTCAGAGAAAAACACCTTCTATAGGGACCAGTGCTTCTCTCCTCTCCCAACCCCACACCCCACACCCCATACCCTTCAAGTCCAGAGAGAGGGTCTTAGGGAGTCTGATACAATTTCAGGGACAAACTACTGCAAAAAAAAAAAAAAAAAAAAGCCAGTGGAAAACCTGGCTAGCAGAAGGTCTCAGATCTCCTGCGAATGTCAACATGAGGTCGTTAAAAGCAAAAGGATTTGAAGAGGTAAAATGGGGGAAACGTTCCTAATTCCCCTGGAATGCGTTCCAGTATGAGAACTCTGTTTGAAAAAAAAGAAAGAAAGGAAAAAAGTGAAACTAATGGGAAAGCGCACAGAGACCCGAGGTTCCACACAAAAGTGTGTGCTTCCCTCAAAAAATTAATCAAACTGTGGAGTGCGGTGGCTTGATAACATAGCAACAGTGAGACCAGGTGGCTTTGGTCTCTCTGTTTATCCTTCCCGGCCATAAAGTGAAACAATTTTTACTTTGTGACGGAGAAGCAAGGGTCTTTTTTTTCCTGGCAGGGGCTGAAGTCATTGTACCCAGCTTTCTGCTTTTTTTAAAAAAAAAAAAAGAAGAAAGAAAGTTGGAAAACGGCGCCTATCACATTGACTGGGAATATATAGAAAAGGTCTGCGACAAGCCCTCCGCGTCTCGCTGATCTTAGTAACAGCGTGATGCATGTGACCCGCGCCTTCCTCCCATTGGAACGGGCCCTATATTTATGAAAACAACTCTATCGGGAACGAGAAGACCTGGCCTGTTTTGTTCCTCGCGATATAAATTCCCAGGAATCCCCACAATTATTTCGGGAGTAAATCAGGCTGGGAATGGAGACTTTTATGTCGGTGGGTAATGAATGCCTGGCCCCGCAGGGCGGGGGGCGGGAGCGGGGGGCTCGCAAGTGGCAAGGTATTTGGGAGCCTCTTTGTCAGGGCTCCTCCGGAGAACAGCGATGCCTTAAATATAGATAAGTCACGCGGAATCAATATTTGGGGGCTGTTCGAGATAGAAGGCTTCCTACCGCGACATCATAAACTATCTGAAAGCCATGAGACTGGCAAAGTTTTCTAAACACCATCCATTTCTTTGCCCTTTGAATTAAAGGAGACACATATTTCTAAGAATCCTCTCCCTAGGACGGTCGGGGTCTCTCTCTCTCTCTCTCGTTTTTTTTTTAAATTGAGTCTTAAAAGGTCCCCATTTCTCATCTCAGGTGACCACCCGCGGGCTCACCTTGCAGCTCTCACAGGTGAGGAGCCCGTAGTGGTAGCCGGACACTTTGTCTCCGCACACGGGGCACAGCTCCTCCAGGTCCTCGTCGTAGGAGTAATTCACCATCTTAAACTGAGACACTGGAAGGGAAGAGGCAGAAAGAGACACACACAGGCCGGGTGAGCTTCCCGGGTCGCCTTCCATCCCCGCAGGGAAAGGCGCCCCGGGTGGGGTCGGGCGGGCAAAGTCCACCAGGAAAGAGACCAAGTAAAAAATACTTCGGCTGGGCTCAGGAGTTCCTTAGAGAACTCCAGCGAGAAAGCCAGGCATCTTTTAAAAAATATATGCATATATATATTTTTAAAAATTTAAAAAATAGCTCCCAAGTCTTCTGTGAAACACACATGCACCGACCCCGGGGGTGCACACAAGCTCGCAAAGCCACCGATCCCACCCGGAGCGGGAGCCGCCAGCAGAAACCACTTCGGATTTCTTTGAAACTCCTTTCCAAGTCCCAAACCGGCCACCTTTGCCCGGGGGCCAGAAGCAAGCACACCCCACACCCCGCCTCTCTCTCTCTCTCTCTCTCTCTCTCTCGGAGGAAGTTTGCAGCCAGCACCTCAGGGTGGGGCGGCCACCGGGACCAGGCCCTTGGCCCAGACACTCCAGCCCCAACCCCGGCTCTGAGCAGCCCCCTCCCCAGGGCTCCTCAGGGCTCCCCAGGCTCCGGGCTGGGCGAGGAAGCGAAAGGGATCTCTCTCTCTCGATACTTTGTTTCAACTCCGCACTTTTGCAAACCCTCCCGCCTGTGAAAGTGAAAAAGGAAAAAAAAAGGGAAGGGAGGAAACAATGTAACATAAAAGAGGAAAAGAGACCCAGTCCTGTAAGAACTTCGCAGGTTTTCCCATCATCGCCCCGAGATCGCCCCGGTTGAAGTTCCACCCAAATCGGGCCGCCCAGCGGGGATGGGGGCCTGCC